AGGAATGGCAAGGCTCTGCTTCTCCTTCACCCACCCCACCCTCCCCTCCTGTCCTGTCCTGTCCCCACGGGCGGGGCCGCCACCTGGGTGGGCTGTCCTGGAAGTCGAATGCAGGTGTGTGCTTGGCTCCTCGCACAGAAGGTGGCACAGTGACACCCTAGAGGACTGACTTGCCGTCTTATTCCCAGTAGTACTTGTTGGAAGGGAGGTTCAGGAGGAGCCAGAGGGGCCAGCCACTCTGAGTGAGGGCAGGACAGGGAAGGTTCTGCCAGCCTCCTACCCACTGCCTCCTAATCTGGCCACATGGGGACCCAGCTTCCTTGGGGTCTTCACTGCTATCCAGACGGAAAGAACTCCCCGCCCATTTGCTCTTCTCCCATGCCCAGCTAGCTGCCACCGCTGTGTGGGCGAGGCCGAGGGTCGGTGCAGTAGTGAGTGCAGGTGCTGTTTGGAGATGCTGGGGGAGAGGCCATCAGGGCGCAGCTCTGAGGATGGGCTCCAGCCCTGAGGTTTGCAGGAAGGTGACATGGCCCGCAAATTGCTGGTGGAGGAAGAAGACATGTCAGTCAGCCCAACGTCTAACCTGCTTCCTGAGCCACACTTTATTTAAAAAAAAAAAAAAAATTTCAGAGATAATTGGAGGCCGTTTACTTTTGTAATAAATAGCTCTTGTTTTGAATGCCATGTCGTTCTTGTGGTCCTTTATTGAATCTGACTTGCTCTCTGGCTCCCAGAAAGCCCTCCCTGAGAAGAAAAGGACGCTTTGAGCACAGGCGCCAGCCGGTGCCTCCTTTCAGGCTGTTCTGTTCCTGCAGAGGCCCTGGGCTGAGCAGGTGAGTGGAATGCCCCTGGGGCATTAGGCCCTGCCCTGTTCAGGTTGCTTGAGTGTAAAGTTTGCTTTTACTTCAGTTTGTTTAAACTTATTTGCAAATAAGTAAGAAACAGGACCCCCTACTTTTTCTTTTAACCTGCCCATAGTGTAGGAAGGAGTGAGAGTAACAGGTGTCAGCTTCTCAAACAGCAGCATGGCCCAGCATTGAAGCAATGCCATTCTTGGTAGGAGTCCTGCAAGGATCGGGAGGGGGTAAGAGCTGGTGTGAGCTCAGCACAGAACATGGGGGAGGAGCGGACTACTGCACTGGGAAACGGGTCTTCTGGGCGAACTGCCCCCTGGGGGAGGGGGTAGGCCCTGTGGGTCTTCAGGAGATGGGTCTACCCTTGGACAGCAGGCTAGAAAAGGACCAAGGGGCCAGCAGATGGTGTACGGGTCACGTTGCTGAACTCCCACATGACCAACCGCGGTGTGAGTCAACCTGGTGGCTTGGAAATCATACCAGGCACATGCATATGTATACCCAAGATCCTGGGGGGGAGGATGGAGGAGAAGGGATTGCAGCGTGGCCATTCCCCTTGGGGGTTGATTTCTCTTACTGTCTCTGACTCTCTCCTTGCCCTGAGGCAAAACTCTCTTAAGAAAGAAAAGGACGAAACACTCTGACTGGCACAGCTTAGTTCACAAAATCCAGACCCATCTAGGACATCTAGTCCCCATGAAAGCCCCATGAAGCCTGTGATGCTTCTGGCCCCATTCTACCCGGAAGAGATTAAACTACTTGCCTGAGTTTCCGTGATTAGCAAATAGTAGAGCCAGTGCCTAGTGGGCCTTTTTCTGTCTAGGCTGGTCCTGGGACTAGAAGGCCCCGGAACAGGCTGGCAGCGCCAGATACTCCGAGGAGGAGGTGTGCGCACTTGGCTCCAGGTGTGCCTGGTGCACGCTCCTTATACCTGCTTAATGCACCACCAGCTCGGCCAGGCCGTCGCCCTGGCCCGTACACCCAGGCCACTGGTGTACTACTGGAAGATACGTTTAACATCAGGTTTTCTGGGAGGAAGAGTGCCAAGTTCCATGGTATAAATACTCCCACCATGGCCTGTTTCAAGCGCCCCTCAGGACCACAGAAGTTTCAAGGCCTCCGTGTCTAGCCTGTGATTTTGCCAGAGCCGCAGCCTGGTCATGACCGGTGGCCCCAGAACACCCACCTTGATCCATAGAACCAAAGAAAGAGGACTGGATTGCCACTCAACCCCCTTACTGCCTAACTGCCCCGAGAGAAGTGACAGAGAGGACACAGTCTCAGGGGCTCCAAATAACGGAGAGAGAGGAGGGTGGAAACCGGCTTGCTGTCTAAACCCTGGGCCGTGAGAGCTGGCTGGACTCAAGGATTCTCGCAGTCAAAAGCTTGATTCTAACTTGACAGGTGGCCAGTCGTGTGCCCTGAGTGGGGCATGAGAACAGACTTCTTCAAAAATAGCGATACTTCTGTTTTTAAAGAAAGTCAAGGTGAAGGCACCAGACTCCTACATGGCTGCGCGGCTTGCATCCCGGACCTGGGGGCTTTCTTTCTCATTTTCCCTCTCTCTCTCTGGTGAATGTGAGCCCTATAAAAATTTTAAAGTAATAATGAATAAAATAATTATTTTTTTCAAAAAGAGTCACATAAACATTACGGAATAGTAGAATGTTAGCACTTGACTCCTCCAATGTCCAGGTAGTGCAGTGCTTCCATTCTGCACCAAGGTGGCGCCTGGCCAGCAGAGCTGGGAGAACTGGAACCCGGTCTCTGAAGCTGGAGTCTAGAAACTCCCATCTGACTGGAAATGGCTGCAGTGTGGCACTATCCCTAAGGCTGAGAGCCCTGGGGCTCCTAACCGTGCTGGCACCCTAGTCAGGCTGCCCCGACCTCTGGACCTGTTGGCCCAGGGAGGTGGCCTGGTGTCCATTGGCCTGATCTCCGGGACGGAAGGGAAGACATGCATTCAGGCGTGACCTGAGCAGATCCCATGCGCCAAGGTGGAATTCAAATGCTCCCGGTGCGCGTGCAGCAGTGTCTGGGACGTGCGGAGAGGAGGCGCTCAGCCAGGTCTAAGGCGATCAGTTTGAGCAGCGCGCCCTCGGAGCCCGACCCTAGCCGGCTAGTCAGTGGTAACGTGATCGCCAGTTTCCAGATGGGAAACCAAGACCCAAGGAGGCGCTACAGTTTCTGTTCAGCTCTGAAGCCCCGACGTTTCCCAGTCACCGGGTCCTCCCTAGCCAAGGCCATTGCGGAGGGAGCGCGAGCCTTGCGGGACCAGAGAGGGCGGGGGCCGCGGTTGCTTTAAAGAGCCACAGCCGGGCGGCGCCGGGCGGGGCTGCTCTCGGAGCGACGGGGGCGCAGGGTGCAGCGGCCACAGCAGGGTCCCCGGAAGCGCCAGCGGGGCGGGCGCGGCGGGGGC